CGCTCACGCCGGGCCCTGACCCGGCGCCGGCCACGTGACTCTGCCCCCCCCACCCCGCTAACGGTCGGTGTTCTGCGCTCGGTCGTTGCGGTACGCGCTTGTAGGTCTGCGGAGGTGGGTTGGGGTACCCGGGACGCCAGGATCATAAGTCTGGTCCTCTGCCCCTTGGGCCTCAAGACCTGATTTGTAGTGCAGACTTCCGGCTCCAGCTTTCCACAAACGAGTTTAAGTTGTTGCCCAATGTGGGCAGCTGCCGAGGAACGCCTGAAGGCGTTCTTTCCTACCCTAGTGACACGGAAATTTTTGTTCTGTGGTACTGGCGATAGAATCCAGGGCCATTTCATTGAGCTACATCCATGCCCCTCTTATATGTTTGAGATAGTTGGTAAATTGCCCAGGTTCGGGACTTGAATTTGTGATCCTCCTGCCTCAGCCTCCTAGGGTGCTAGGATTACAGGCGTGCGCCACCATATTGAGCTTCGCCGCCTGTAAGAAAAAGCGAGGCAGAGGCTGATGGGGCGGTTTGTCTTAAAACGGGACTGACCCTGAAAGCCCCATATAGGATACCCAGCATGGTGTCCTTAATGCTGACCTGGGCGTGAAGAGTAAGAAATTGTTTTAAGTGTTCCCATTTCGGATTTTCAGGTGTTCAAACTAAAATTTTGTTAAATTTGAGCCAGATACTTAACGATATTATGCTAAAAACTCAGGTGCCTTAGGGCCGGGGATTCAGCACAGACATACTGCACCCGAGTTCGAGTTCTGATACAAAAAAAACCCAGGTGCCTCATTTGAATTGTATTTTCCAACTATTAAACCATGTTCCATGTTTCAGATACAAATGTATCATGCGGCAGGTGTGGCAGCTCACATCTGTAATCGCAGACTGGGGAGGTTGAGGCAAGAAGATCCTGAGTTGGAGGCCATCCTGGGTTACATAGCCAGACCCTTCCTCAAAAAAATAAATGAACGTATCAGAAGAACAATCCACTTGCCACACATGTTGGCTGTCCCAAATCTGTGTGGAAGGGCCTCTTTGAAGAGTACTGCGAATTCTATTTCTTTGGTGTGCCCCTCAAGAGGCACCTTCTGTGTGAGTCCCATATAGATGGTGGCCTTTGCTGAGCTCCTGGCATCGCTTTCCCTGCGGTTGTGATGTTTCGCCTGAGGCCTGCAGTCTGCATTTGAACATAGTTTGTGGCTTAAGTGAGGTGCAGCCCTTGAAGAGTCAGTCTTGGACCTGGGCTAGGACTGCTGCGACTTCCTCAGGCAGAGACACAGGGAGCCCCTTTCCCCTGCAGGTTAACAGCAAGGATTGCAGTGATACTGCCATAGACTTTTCCACATGCAACAAGCTAACTCTGTGGTTACGTCTGTAATGATTGTAGAACTTTCCATACTTGTGATTTTGTCTTTTTTGCTCCTCTCACAAGTAGTCAAAACCTGTGTTTAGTGGGGCATGACTCCTAATCTCAGCATTCAGGAGGCTCAGGCAGGAGGATCACTGGGAGTTCTAGAAATGCTTTGGCCTCAAGAGTTCAAATTCAGTCTGAATTTCAAAGCAAGACTTTGCCTCCAAAAAAGAAAGAAAAAAGCCTGTGTTCATGGCTTCATTGTGGCGTCACCACAGAGCAAGTTCATTTCTCAATCCAGTTTGTTTGCAACATTACATATTTGTACACTATTAGAAAGTTTTATTTCTGTGTCCTTTGTCACTGTAGTGACAATTATTTGTCTTTCCACATTCCTTTTAAGATTGCTTGTTTAATTGTGTATAAATTATGTCAAAACTAATACCTCTTATTCATGAAAATTTCCTTAAAAGACCATCGGAGATGACCCGTACAAATATGCCTGAAAGAGGTCTCTGATGTTTGGTAACTATAGACCTTGAGTTGTTTGTTTGTTGGTACTGGAGATCAAATTCGGGACCTTGTGCTTTCAAGGCAGGTGGTGGAACCACTGAGCTAAATCTCTGGCCCTATGGGCCTTGAATTTTTATTACACCTTTTTCTGCTATATGGTTCTAAATAGAACTCCAGAGTTAACAAATTTGTTTTTTTTTCTTCTCAGAACTGGGGATCAAACTCAGTATCTTGTGCTTGCCACGCTGCTCAGTGCCACTGAGCTACATCCCCAGCCGGAGTTAACAAATTTGATCTAATCAACTTGAGGACACAAGGCATGGTAAGCCCTTTTAGCCCTTTCATTTTTACATGGTAATCAGCTATAGTCACCCTGCCAACTGTAGATTTAGTTAGGGCTGGGGATTTAGCTCAGTGGACCTGCCTTGCAAGCTCAAGGTCCTGAGTTCAATCCCCAGTACCCCCCAAAACAAAAACAATTATAGATTTAGTGAACAAGTCTACATGGGTGCTTAGCAGATCTCACAGTGATCAGTTATCACAAGTGGAGGGATATGGAGCACATGATGTCACCATAAAAAAATCCCTCATTCCTCTTAAAGACCTATACATGAAGGCTCCAGAATAATTACCTTGTTATTAAATAATCATCTCAAAAGCATTCAGGGAAAACTAAAATAATAAGGAGGACTAGCAGGTAACTGACACCTTTAAACAGTCTCCAGAACCTTTTCCCAGGGAAGAAATTGAATTTTTTTTTTCCTTTTCCTGGAAATTTTTTTTTCCAGTGTGAAGTTGTTTTATTTTTTTGAAGTTGTTTTATTTATTTTGCAGTACTAGGGATGGAGCCCAGGGCTTTCTCACTGAACTACATTCCCAGTTCTTTTTAAAATGTTTGCCTTCAAATGGCTACTTTCAAGAAATCAACTAATACAAGGACCTAAGTTCAATCCCTGGTACCAAAAAAAAAAGAAAGAAAGAAAGAAATCAATAACAAATGCTGGCAGGGATATGGGGAAAAAGGGACCCTTCTCCACTGCTGGTGGGAGTGTAGACTGGTGCAACCTCTGTGGAAATCAGTTTGGAGATTTCTCAAAGAACTAATAGTAGAGGTTCCATTTGTCCCAGCTATACCTCTTCTTGGTGTCTTCCCAAAAGAATTAAAAGCATCATACCACAGTGATACATGCATACCCATGTTTATAGCAGCACAGTGTGTAATAGTTAAATCTTTTTTTTTTTTTTTGGTACTGGGCATCAAACTCAGGACCTTGTGCTTGCACAGCAGGTGCTGTACCACTGAACTGAATCCCTGACCCATTGTAATAGCTAAATTTTAAAAGCCCAAATGCCCATCAACTGATAAGTCAATAAAGAAGATGTGGTGTGTGTGTTTTAATACAATGGAGTACTACTCTGCCATAAAAAAGGATGAGCTTCAGACATTTCTAGCTGAGTGGATGAATCTTGAGACCAAACTCATAAGTGAAATAAATTGGAAACACTTGTTTACCATATTGTTTCTCTGGTGTGAGAAAGTGGAAATAAGAACTGGATTGCACAATGGATGTTGGGAAATGGGAAGAAAATATTCAAATGAGAAGAGGAATGAGGAGGGAGAAAGGAAGGAAGGGACAAGAAAAAAAGTGAAAATAGAAGGAGAAAAATGGAGGAAAAAAAAAGCTTTGTACATAGGGAGTAGAGGGGCCTTGAAGGGGGAATGGGATAAAATAAAATTTATTTAAAAAAACTAAAAAGTATTTTTTAAAAGACTTCATTATCTTGAAACAGTTTCACTAAATTGCCAATGCCTCAGCCTCAGAGTTCTGGGATTATAGGTGTACACCACTACACCTGGCTAAATTGTTTTCTGAGTCAATGAATTTATCTTTTTTCTACAAATTTACCTCAAAATAAAAATTTAACTTTATAAGAATACCATTTAACTCTGAAACATTTTAAAAATATGATCTTTTCCCATAATAAAGAACAGGAAAATTATTCTGTAGCAAGAACAGAAACATTAAATTATGTGGTAGAATTAAAAAAAAAACAAACATCATTGAAATGTTTCTGAATGCTTGTATGGACAGACAAAACAAAGAAAGTTTTAGGAAAAAAATTGAGAAAAAAGGAAAGAAATGTGTACTTACATTTGTTCATCTCTTCTCTTTGTAAAAAGTTTTGTCACTGGCTTCCAAGCAACTGGATTTGAAAGCTGAAGGCTGCAGCTCATTGACAAGTGTGACTGGTGTTTGAGCTATGAATTTCTTTCCAGGAATGATCTAGTCAAATGTTTTAAGGACCTTTTTCTTGAGAGCCAAGAAAAATGGGCACTGTTATTGTCTAACAGAATGTAGGTAATTCTATTGTAAGTCTTTGGTTAATGTATTAGTTCATGTATAAGATGAAACAGGTGTTAAGAACATACTTCAGAAAAGTCTTTCTCTGCTAGTTAAAAAAAACACTGCTTTCAGCCTTTCTGGGAAGTGCACATTGTGAATAGAAATAGCTTCCAATAAAGTCAATGATTTCATTTAGAATTATTTGGTTTTGAAAATCAAAATAACCTCATGTCCTTATTTTCTCTCTTTCTTGAAAGTATAAAGACAGTAAAAGCTTTTAAGTCATGAGTTAAAATTCACAAAAGCCTTCAGTTCAGGGATCTGATTTTCCTTTTATAAAAAGGCAAAGGTAATTATAGTCTCCTGATAAAGACATAATATTAAAATAGAGAGGGCCAGGGATGCAGCTCAGTGTTGCTTCACCTGCCTGGTAAGCACAAGGTCCTGAGTTCAATCTCCAGTAGTACAAAAACAAAAACAATTAAAAATAAACCCATACATTTCTGCAAACTTCATTTTTGACAGACAGAATTGACCATCAGAGAGAAGATAGACCTTTAATGAGTCGTGTTACCAGGCCTAGTGCCATGATGCCTGTCTATAAACCCAACCCTCACACCCGGGAGGCTGAGACAGACAGACAGGGCCTCCAGGCCTACATAGTGAATTCAAGGACAACATTGGCTACATCTGGAGATCTTGTCTCTCAAACAAAACAAGTCAATAATTTCAATTATTTTAAAACTAAGAAATTTTCTTTTTTCAAAAAAAGTACTGTGAAGCTGGGTGTGGTAGCACCTGCCTGTAATCCCAGCACTCTGGAAGGCTGAGGCAGGAGAATAATATACTCAAACCCAATCACTCACAAACACACACACACACACAATGCAAAAGATGAAAATATCCACAGACTGGAGAAAACACAGTATATAATAGAATGTAATAGAACAAAGTTTCTTGATCTTCGTGCTGTAACATGTTGAGCCCAGTAATTTTTGTTATAGGAGGATTGCCCTCAGCCTTATAGGACCCCTTGCCTCTACCTTCTTGACACCAATTATGACCACCAAAAAAGTCTCAAAACATTGTCAATGTAGTTTAATATGCAGATTATTCTTTGGTTGAGAACTATGTGAAAAACTCCTAAAATTAAAAGATAGTAAAATAGGAAAAGAAAGCCAGCTACTTCACAGAAAAAGAATTCCTATCACACAAAGGTGCCAAATTCTTTGGCAATAGGGGACACATGAATGAAAACATAAAACAACACCATTTTATGTTTAGAATTGGCAAAAATTGAAAAGTACCACAGTAAATGGTGTTAGATGTGGAGCCATGGGAGAACTCTTACACAATGGGAGTTATTCTGAAAGACAATTTGACATTGACTACTGTACTAATTTGAAATTATGCGTATCTATGGCCAGCAATTTGTCTAAGTGTCTTAAGAAAAAAGTGCACATTTGTGCCAGAATGCACATGCAAAAATGCTCATAGCACTTTTTTACAGGCATTAGAAGATTTATTAGGCAGAAAAAAAGTACACATTCAGAAGGGAATGTGTTCATTCACAGAGACAGTTGTAGCACTTTTAACAAACAAAACAGAAGCCCAGTGCAGTGTTGCCCGGCTGAGGCCGAGGCAGGAAAATCGTAAATTTGAGCCCAACTTGGGCAACTTAGGGACTTGGTGAGACCCTGTCTCAAAAAAAAGAGAGAGGGCCGGGGATTTAGCTCAGTGGTTCTGCTGCCTGCCTTTAAAGCATAAAGTCCCATATTCAATGCCCGGTACTAAAACAAAAAACCAAAAAAAAAAAAAAAAAAAAAA